CTTATCAATATGCTTTAACACCAATCCACTCTCCGACATCTCCATCTTATCTAACTGAAACTCTATGTCAGTTGCCATTTGATTTAACTTTTGGGGGATTTCATCTTCATTGGTGATGTTATATCTTCTACTTCTGATGCTCTCCCTTATCTCTTCGTTAGTTTTCTTGCTCTTCATAGTGGCGGAAACCTGTAAAATAACTTTCAGACCCTTGTGTTTCATCAAATACTCTTTCAACCTTAAATCTTGGTATTTGAGATACTGTAGCGCCTTGATGCCTCTAACTCTGACATTTGTGATGGCAAATGAATTGACATAACCCTTGAAAGCAGATTGTTCGTTGGTGGTGGTTGCTTTGTATCTCATTTGGATGCCTGTGAGTGCTTTGTTCTTGTCAAGATTGACCCATCTAATGCCTTTCTTTTCCTTCAGTTCATACTTTTTGTAGTCCATAGTCTGCCTAATCTTGTTGAATTTGGTGTTCAATATTTTTGATATGGGTTTTCCCCTTTCAAAGTTGTAGGTCTTCTCTCCAATCTTGAGTTTCTTGAGTTCCTGTCCATTCCGTTTCAATATCTCACCCTGTTCGGATGACAAAAGATGATCTAAAACAATCTGCTGTGAAGTGTCCATTATAGTATATTCTATATTATTATTAGTGGATGTTTCTTTAAGTAGTTTTTCAGTTTCCATTGTTTGTTGAGGATGTTGCGGTTGATTGGATTGGTTGTCTGATTGATTTTTAACATAAAATGTCTCTGTTGAATGTTTCAACCTTGTATCCTCTGCCATTTACTCCTTACCCTATAAGGTGGCATTTCTTTAAGTAGTTTTGGGTATTGGTTGCCTGTTGGAATTTCTGGGATTGGGGTTGGACTTCAACATAAAAACCTTCTCAATAAAAATGTTTGTTATTGAGAAAATTTTGGATTGGAAAACCCTTTGAACGAAACGTGCCGTAAGGTGTCTTAAAGCACCTTTGAACATTGGCATCTGTTTCTCATACAAACGTTGGTTTGACGGTGTTTGGATAAATTGGATTTGGACGAAATGGTGCGTCCGCAGTCGGGACACTTGAAGGGTGTTGAGAGTTTCTTTTGATAGTATTTTGAGAAGTATTCGGGGTCTAATGGTTTGCTGTCATAAGTTCCATCGGGTTTCCATCTTGTAGAGGTTTGGATTGGGGGTTCTTGGACTGTTTCTGGATTGAGTGCTTCAACCATTTGGTCAAAGATGTCCTCATCCATTTCTTGCTTCTTACCATCAATTACTAAATAGCAGGGCATATCAAATCTTAATTACATAAGGCGACTTGTCTTTAAGTATCTTTGGGGTGTTCTGTGTTCGCAAATGAGGTGTCCCAAAATGATGTGAAAAGAAATTCGACAAGACCAGTTTAGGACACTTGTTGAATACTGTTCCTGCCGCTGTCAAAGTTGTTAGAATGCCATTGTCGTTGTTGCAGCTTGTTGGGAAACTGCAACTGCATTGTCTTCAGTTGAAGTTAGCAGTATGGCGAAGCCTCATTACCCAAAAAACATGCTCATCTGCCATCAACTCCTGCAGGGCGGATGGTTTGTCTCTCTTCGTTTCCACGAAAAAACAACTTGAACTATTTCATCACATATGCCTATATATATACACATAATAAACATTAACCCTGCCACACCGTCCAAACCCGTTGGATGCTCCAGACCACTCCGACGAAACTTGATTTCCCTGAAGAAACAAGATGAACAAATCGGGAGGATTAAAGGGTCTGTGGGTTTGCGCGGGTGTGTGGTGCATATGAACCAATACATGCTCAAGGGGCATGGACAGAATGCTCCCCCAAGAGATTGCTAAATTAATCATCGCCAACGTCAAGTTTTGGAGACTGCTTGGAAATGTCATTCCAGCAAATCTTTGGTTGGATTTTCACCGAAACAATCAGGTTTTGAAGGCTGTTTAATAGTTCGCGGCTTCAAGGCTTTGATAGAACCCGTTTCCAAAATCTTGCATTATGACAAATGCTGGGATTGACCTTCTAATAGATGGTGTCCCTGATGCCTTCACAACCTTGGCGCGGACGCATTCGGCAAGTGGAAGAGGGCAATTGGATGCAATTGGATACAGTAAAGCAGTGAAAAGTGGTTGATATCATCACCAAACTTCTGGGCCTGAAGAATGCTACATTTGAGAGTGCCAATCCAACAACTGCGAAACTAACCAATCTTCAATCTCTGCCATTTCATTTCACTTTTGCTCATCCAGTCTTGGAACACTGTGCAGTCTGTCACACCGGTGCATTGTGCAGCGCAGATAGAATGCATCCCGGATTGAAGGGTAGGTGCAACCCCAATAAAAATCATCACCTTTCTGTGTTTTGCCAGTCTGGTTGGACGCAATGCGGATTGCACCATCCATGAATCACGAATGGCACCTTCAGTGCATAACGGATTGCACCCGACCTGCAATCCAAAAGTCCTACTGGTCCTACAAGGAACAAAGCATAACAAAGCACTCTCATTCACACGCCACTGCCACTTCCGCCTTCAGACCTTCTTCAAAAGGTCATGCACTGTGCGGGACACTGCGCAGTAGCGTCGCTCCTCTGCCCGCGCATCCACATAGATGCAATGAGCTCCTTGTCGCCGCACCGCTGCGGCCATGTGCGCAGGCGTGAAGTGCTCCCTGAACCTCTCAGCATCAACACACTGCTCGAAGGAGCTATGCGCCACGGCCTTGGCCAAGGTGCGTGCCATCCTAACCTCTTTTGGGCCAAAGCCACCTTGGTTGTCAATGCCCAAGAAGTTCTGGACCTGACTTCTTTGCACCGTAAGCCGTTTGGACTTTGCTTCTTCCCACGATGTCTCTTTGGCATTTTGCGCCACGTCCTGCAGGAGATGTGGGCAAGTTTCAAGGTTTCACGGTTCGTTGATGTTTCGGGTTGTTGTCCCATGGTTTCATGACCCTTGTCCTCCATTACACCGATGTTGCCACCTGTGAGTTGGATCATGTCGCTCTTGTGCGTGGAGGCCTCTTCACCGCCATGATGACGTAGGAATTCCTCAGCCTGACAAGGAGACGTCCATCTGCAAACATCCCAACCCATGCCAGAAGTAGCACCAACAAAAAGCACTAAAGTGATTGAAGGTGACTGAACAATTACCACATGAACTGAAGCTCTTCATTATGGCCTCCTTCTGCGAGAGCTCTTCACTCGTCAGTGATGGAACGAAGAATTGGCGCTCACGACCGTCTGCGTCAAAAGCCATGGCTGACACTGCAGAACTGACCATCACCAGCACTTTGGCAACCTCGTCATCAAAGCCCCATGACTTCGCAAAGGCGGAGACGCTGCTCATCACAGATGGCTCGAAGACACCACGAGGAACTTCAAGGATGATGATGGGTTTTCGTCCCATTCTTGTCTTGGCACCTCTCAAACCACGCACCACCTCCTCTTCATGGAGCACTGCCAACGCGCTCATCACCTTTTCCGTGGCCAAGTGATTGTTCTGCGTGAGCTTGATGTGGAGCACTCCATTGTTCCACTGTTTCTCCTGCAACACTTCCCAAAGGATGGTGCTCTTGCCAACTTCATGGTTCCCCCAGATGACGATTGGGCGGGGGTCGTCCAAGTCCAACAACTGGTGCATTTCGTCCTGCCACAGTGCATAGTGAGCATAGTGCATCAAATTCAAAATGTCAGTATGACATGAAATAACACCTATCTCAAGAACAAATCCCTTCTGTCAAGAAACGCAGGGACAAACACAACAAAAAAAAGGTGGTGCTTGGACGCCTTGATTATCTTCCGTTCAATCTTGACACGTGGCTCGCGTGCTTTGAAAGAGGCATTCACAATGATATTCTTCACTCGCTCTTGTTCTTGACGATGCCGTTCTTGTTCTTGACGATGCCGCCACATATCCCATCCAAAGGTCACGATGGCCAACGAGCCACCACCACCAACCAACCACTTTCCAATCTGCTGTTTCGTGGTCGGCTCCTTCTCTGGAGCGTTGTTTGAGAAGCAACGGTGGTTTCGTCGGCCTGACATGAGAAGCCGAAAACCACAACATCGGGCAATGAGGCAACGCGACATACCATGGCGGAAATCTCCAGAACTGGGACTGTGCTGGAGCTCAAGCACTTTACGATTTCTTGATGCGTTGACTTGTTCATAGTGCAACACATGCCGCAAGTAGAACTCATCTTATCTTGTGAGCATTTGTGAGCCTGTCTGCTGCGGGAGAAAGCAATCAACATCTCTGGGTGTAGTGTAATGCCACAATGTGTACATAGAGTGTACATAGTGCCTCAAGAAACGCAATATGTCCTCAAAAGTGATGCTTCCATGCAAACGAAACAGCGCGCACATCTCATCTGGGCGCCCCCGACGAAATCCAGAAAGTCCATGAAGAAGTCCGCAAAAAATGAGGCGAAGCGAAAGACGTTCAAATCAAAACACAACCAAGAAAAAACGCCACCAAAAAAGACGAGAATGAGAGAATAAAAAATGAAAGATGTTGAAAGACATGGAACCTTTTGAAAGATATCAAGTTGAATGTTCTGTCTTGAAACTGATGATAAGGAAACACAATAAAATCATACCCAAAAAAAGACAAGACATACCTTGACAATAAAAAACGACAACCACAAGTACACTATCCACAGTATCTCCCTCATCTGAACCAAAACACAAACCCCAACAGCCTAAACAAATCCTACCCTCATCTGAACCTAACATTGACACATCACTTTAGCATCAAAATGACCCCCAAAACCCCACCTGAAAAATCATCAAAACCAAGGATGAAACATTGAACCCCAACACAAAATCATAACAAGCAACATACCAACATACACGCCCTGAAACCCCCATTTTACCATTTTTTTGTGGGATATGGTGGGCTAACCCCCCTATTGATCAATTAGATTCAATTAGATCATATGATGGTAATTTATGGTACTAGTATGATAAATCGAGCATTGGAGCCCATGCAGCAAGGGGGCTGCACCAGCTCGTGGAATCGATCTGATGCGGCCTGGTAGATGGCTTCATCCACCTGGAAGGCTGAAAATATCTGATGAGGTCATGGCAGGATTCCAACAGATTCTTCTGGTTGGTGGTTTCAACCCCCCTGAACAATATTAGTCAGATTGGATCATCCTCCCAACTATGGGGGAAAATAAAACATGTTCCAAACCACCAACCAGTTCTTATATTGAACAAAGTACCGATTTTTTCAAGTCTTTTTCATCCCTGGAAGCTTTGATTTTCTTTGGCTGCCGCTACTTCCAGGCACTTCACCAGGCGACTCGGCTTGCAAATGTGGAACCCCCCCCCAAAGCAGTGGCCGGGGAGGTGGCCTCATCCACAAAACCCATCAGCTGTGTCTCATCATAAAGCTGATCTTGATGCGAATCGCCCTGTCAATGGCGTTAGTCAGGTGCTAGTATCCATCAAATGCATTCAAATGCACTAGGAAGAATCGAAGGTTTTCTGGTTCTAGGCCTGCAACTCAAAATCATTGACCCTAAGATTAAGCTTTCTTAGGTTGTACTGCCATTTTCTTAGCCTTTCCACATCCTACCTTTTCTTTGAGCCCCAGAATTGGATTGAGCCAATAGGACAACCTTATACTTTATGGTAAAAATATGCGACACCATGCGACACTTGCTGTAACATTGCATAAAAAATGAAGGATCCCTGAAATCAATACAATGGAGTACCTCTGCGCTTTGCGAAGTCCCCAAAAGCCTCATGAAAATCTACCAGCTGTGCTGCATTGACTGTCCCTCCAAACCTCAGAGCTCTTGCAGAAAAGACTTCATGAAAGGCTTGGAGACATGGGCAGTTGATGGCAACATCATATCTTTCATTCCTACGACGAGCCTCTTTGTGAGTTTATATGCTGATCATTTTCAACTTGTATTAAACAAAAGCAAACACGATCCTTGATCTGCAGTGATGGAGGGCACCAAGAAATCTTGTGGCATCTTGATGCTAAGGGCCGCACATGCGCTGAAACAAGCAGATAGACAAATCCCAATACTCCGTCAGCCCAACGAATGCCATCTCCTCAAAAATCTGTCCGTTGGCTGTGTTGCAGCAGCTTCTTCCCTGCTCTCAAAGCTAAGCATTTGGGGCAATCAGCATCACCCGAATGCACTTAACAGCATCGTGCTCATCACGACGTAAGGTATTCAAACAAATGAATGTTGCACTGCATGCATTGGCAGTTTTTAGTACGAACTGACCAGAACAAAGTGCCTTGCATCTGCAGCCCACAGTTTCATGCATAATGTAATATCACATGGTTCGCAATATCCCATCTTGAAGTGCAACAGCCGATTAGCAGAGTTGAAACAATGCTCATCACATCGCCAAACTATGCACCGCGGTCCTTCACCATAGCTATGGCCTCTTCCAAGTGAGCCTGGCAACGTTGAAGCAGCCCCCACATTTCAAGGGGATGTGATCTGCTACTGAAGGACACTGAAGGGACCTAATTCCAAACAAAAGGTATCCACAAGCTTCCCGACCCCCATGGTTCATGTCAATCAGCAAAAAACTATACAATTAATCCTAATTTTTAATATCATTGAAGAGACAGTAGGTTGGTATAAATTCGTGCATCCCCCATTTCTTGACGAGCCCCTGTGATGCGTCAGCCCCTCGGCCGCACCCCACCTTCCCACCATCGAAGGACGACTCGGCAAATTGCGTCTCTGCGCAAAATCCACCGGTGAGCATCCGAGACATGCAGCCTGCAATGCCTGGCTCACAAACATACCCAATCTTAGATATCCTGTAACAAAATCATACAAAATCAATTGGCTAGTAGATTTCCAAAACATATCCACATCTGAACTCATGGCAACGGCAAAAGATTCTATATTACTACTGTAAATTATGTATATATATGTATATATATAAATATTTAAGTATTGTATCCCCCATCCAATGTTGATTATCAAATTGAATTAAATATAAATTATATACGTTGCGGTTGCACCAGTTGTCTTTTTTAAACAAATATCATAAATCTGGGAAGTTGATTTGAAATCACACCATGCCACACATCGCATGGCCCGCTATGCCCCGCCCCTCACATGGCAAGGAAGCAGCCTGGAAAACGAGCATAGCATCCAGCTGAATTCTTTCCATTCGGGCCGCACTCCTGGCGAAACCCATCTCCCAAGATCTCCCAAAGATTCCAAGGTGCATGAGTTCCTTCAGAGTTTACATATTATGCTTACATCATTTACCCTCTGGTAATTTAACGTAGCTATGGAAAATCACCATTTTTAATGGGAAAATCCACTATTTGTATGGCTATTTTCAATAGCTATGTTACTTTACCAGAGGGTACATCATTTACAGGACCCCCTAATGGCAAAAGCCATCGGAAACTCGAACCATTTTGGACCATCATCCCATCTCTGCGGTCTCTGCGAGGCCTGCATAAGCACTTTGTATTGATCCTCCGCCAAGCCAGAGGCATGGCAGCTATCGTGGAAGGCAGAGATGAGACGCTGACCTCATGGGATTTATCGGAACATTTACAGGAGAAACTACAGGAAACCCTACTTTTTTATGTTTTTTTTTCCAGCAAATATGACATGTAAATATGTTTAAATATGGATATTTGAAGTGCAAATTTATCTTCTGGGAAGTGTAATATTGTGATATATTGTGTAATGGTTTCCACTACATCCTTGTATCTCTGCAATGGTAGTCTCCGCAGCAGTTGCTTCCTTTGGTCGACATTCTCTCCATCCTTATTCAGTGCGAGCTGCCCGGTTGTTGTCGTTGTTTTTTGTTTGTTTGTGTTTTTTCATGATTTGCCCTATAAATAGCACCCTAACCTATACCTTCCTATATATGGGAACATGATAAAATCAGTGATCACTTTTCCTGCCAAGTCCTGGGAATTTGAGCGTCTTTTAAAGGACAGCCCAGCCGCTGGGTCGACGGAACATCCCAATGACCTTCAGCTCATCGGACTGCACCGCAGAGCTGGTGACAGGTCGATGTTGGGTGGAGAAGTTCTGGCTCAGGAAACCCTCCTGTTGGGCGATCTCAGGTCCGGTGACTGGGCAACACCAATGCTATCCAATGGTATCCAATGGTAACGATTGAAATCCACATTTAAGTCATACATAGTCATACATGCTGTGCAGAGATGCACTAGTAGTCACTAGTATGATCCTGCAGATGTGCATATTCGCAACCGGGACAACTCATGGAGTTCGGATAAGTTGTGTAGTACTGGTAGGTGGTTCAGTCACGGTCAGTGTCATGCTCTGTTGGTAACTTTTGGCTATATCACATGTTTGGATTGCAAATTGACCCACGCTTCTTTGAGATAAACTCAAATCCGTTATATATATATGTATGGATTTATATGGCAATTATATTGGATACATATTCCCAGCCGTGTCTAGATTGTGATCCAGCACTATTTGCGGGATGCACATTTACAGTATAAAAGGAAGCAGGATCTGCAGATATCTGCAGCATAGATCGGACCACCAGCGAGGAGTTTGAGGTCCAAAGAACCTCCCACAACTATTCACAACTACCTTCCGTCTTCCCTTGGGCCACGTCCTCACAATAGTCGTCAGGAGGATATCGGTCCATCAATGCCACATCATAACATTGCTCACAGCCAGGTACAGCTCTAGGGCTCACAGCCAAATCCAAGGCCATCCTGGCTGCGACCATTCCAACAATAATTTGGGGATGTCCCCAGCCCCGCCATCCAGCCATATCCACTACAACGACCCATGTTTTTTTCGTCGACTCAGTAAACTGAACACATCACCCTGGTTGGAGATGGCGGGATGTTGGATGATTTGGCCCAGGCCTCCTACTACAGGCGTAGTTCCAGATTGTGGCAAGGAAGCTGGTCCCGGCTTTCGGAAAATGTAGCCAAGTGATATTTCCTGGGCGGGAGATCGCCACTGAGACGTGAGACATCTTGAGAACCACATTTTCCCAGAGCCTTGCACCATTTATATCCCTTTCTATCCGAAAAACATATTGCATTAATTTAATCAATTCAATTAATCAATGTCTACTATTTCTAAATCTACTCTTCTTGCACTATTTCTACTCCGACATTACATCAATTGATGCCCACTGCATTGGTGGCACCCAATTCATGCGGCTTCGCATCTCAGCGGAGCAGCGACCAGAGGGGGCACCTCTGGTATCCTGAGGTCGTGGCCACAGAATCCACAGGCAGCTGGGAACCAAAATGAGCGGCACCCCAAAAACCCCATTTCGGGGTGTATACGATTTTTTATCGATTTTTGATGGTGCATTAGGTGCCTGGATATGTGATGATATGTGTGCACACGTGATACGGTCACACGTCATTTGATTTCATTCGATATGTTCCCAAATAAGAACTTTTGAAGAGATCTGTGCACCCGCCTATGTCATTCCAACCTGTACCAATCACTCTGTTCAAATCAAATCTAATTTGTTCTCCAAGGATCTCCAAGGTGTGACATTGAACCCCCACAATCAAGCGCTGAACACATTTATGGAAATGCACCAAATCAATGCATTGATGTTTTACGAATGAAGGGAGCAATGCCACGGCTCCCTGCTGTACCCCCAAAATAGTGCAATTATAGGGCTTCCCGAAACAAATTCTGTTCAACCAATTCTCAAACCAATTTTGCCAGGATTCTGAAGACTGCCACAGCCCCAAATTTCATTGCCTTGCAAAATGGCATCCCGAGCGCTTGCGCTCCTGTCAGACGGCAGTTTCATCGAAGGGAGTAAGCAAAAGAATGTCTTGATGCTTGGATACTACCTTCACATAGCTAGGGCAGTTGGCAATTGCATGTCCTTGTCCTACATCTTATCTTTAGAATTCTTTAGAGTTGCGAACAGGAGTTCCTCGGTCCCCAAAGCCACCTGCGCTGTGGAACCCATCACACTCATAGAGCTTATAGCGCTGCGAACATGTGGGAAAACAAATCAAAAGAAGAATGCAATTTGCTGCGCAGTACACCTGCTGATCAATATCCAAACCTCCTGCAATGAATCATCAGTATTGCCATGATTGCCGGCCCCAAGACTGAGCTCGCCCAACCTCAGCATCCGCGAGGTTCGCTGCAGCAGATGGGAGGCCGTGGATCCAAGGCCGTCATGACCGTGGCAGCCGAGGTCCCAGGTGGGAGCAGCAAGGGCTGCAGCTGCGTTGCCAGCCAGGATGAAGATCAACATGGAAAGGTACCATACCATGCGGCAAAGGAGGGTAAAGTTGGATCACATGACTTGAGCCAAATGAAAATATCGAGAAAATCCCTGAAGGCAATAGCAGAAACAGCTTACAACCAAACAACAATGTGTGGTGTGTCAGTTGGTAAACTGTCGCCGGAAAAAGGAATCAGTTGAATCCACCTCGGGATAAACCTGAACATCCACCAAATCACAAGGCGATAAAGGATTTATAATAAGGGCAATTCCATGTTTCACCAAGTATATGAGGCATTCTGTGCTGTGGGGTCCGGACAAAGGCAGATAGTAAATGTGGCTCCTGACAAAAGGAGAGTTCATTTTGACGAAAGGTGACGTCGTTGAGTGTTGACATGTCGCGCTGCCCTCCAGAACCATATCGGGAATGGATCAATACCAATAGGACCATCTGAGGGCGGGTGAGCACACAAGTGAGTCATCATATATTTTGATATTTTGGTATATATACTGTACCCCCCCCACACAGAACGAATTGGTGGGATCCACACTATATAGATCATGCATGATCATCCAGTCATTGTAAGCTTGGGCTGTATGCTTGCAAAACGGTTTAACTTCATTACTGACTGATTTATGTCAAACCCGGAGCAATCGACCTAGGGCCTAGTTCGCCCGAAAAAAAATGGGACTCTGCCATGGTAACCCCAACTACACGGCGTGGGGCTTTATGAGCCCAGCTTGATGGCAAACCACATAGTTTCAACATGGCATCCTGGTACGAGCTGTTCCTTGCTAAATGCATGTGCCTTTCCCATGTCTTCCCAGTCATCTTTTGAGATATCGGAGGTTCTATGGCCCTACAATGCCCTGCATATCGGTGCCCTGACGGTCGCCTGTATAGTGGCCTCTGCTAAGTTGAGGCCGTTCAACTGCCCGCAGGAGAAAGCCCGGCAGCAGTTGTGGATGCCGAGCATATGAATATTGGCTTTTGGATGCTTTTGGATTTCATGATGCACGCGCACATATGCTATGTGTATATGTACGTATATGTATGTAGCTATATACTGCACACACACACAGATATATATATATATATACAGCGAATGAGAGAAAAAACTTGACATTGACCTGGTGTGCCTCTTTTTGAGCGGCTTGAAGGGCGCTACAAAATAGGTACCAATGTCATTCCATTGAACTAAGTACATCTTTTCTGCTTGATCTTGACTTTCAGAACATCTTCAAAAAATGTTCTCCCAGAATTGATCTTGCATGTTGTGAACAAAGATGAACAAAGCATAACAAAGCAACAATGCATAACAATGCATTCTTTTTACCTTCCTTGCACTATGCTGCCTGGCGAACCCGATGCCGCAAACTAGTGATTGTCTCCAACACTCATCATTTCGATGAAGTGGAGAGCAATCTTTGCCACTCGGGATCGGATAACAAAACTCAACGGCATTAGCCCTGCTTGGGGCCCGCAGCAAACATCCCTACAAGACCGCTTTGCCGCATCGCCATCTTTACAGTAGCAGCTCACTGAATTCACTTCGTCACGCGGCTTTCTGAGCTCGCGCAACAAAGCTAGGCAATAGGCCTAGGAATACTTGGTGTAATCCCTAAACCAGCCACAAAGCAATATGTGAATCTCAATTATCCTATGCAGCCTCAACCAAACCTCTCGTAGTGGACGAGATATTTCTGCAAGGCTGTCCGATTTTGGCGGCTTCTTGCAAGGGCTTCTTGCGCGCAACTGTTGCACACTGACTGCAAGTCACCAACCAATCCATCGTTGCCACAAATGTATACATGAATATTCATCCCTGGCCGTGCTTTTCCTCGGTTGTAGCAGGCTCAGACTGCAAAGCAACCATATACTCTAGCCCGAAAACTCATTTCTCAGGTAGTAAAACGTGGGGGTGTCCATGAGGCCCCCTTCCACAAGAATATGTATATATATATATATATGCATATTCACAATCTACAACAACACAAGGAACAAAAATACATCATGCAAATACCCAGCCCCACACCTTTTTCCAAAGGCAACTGAGTACACAACCACCGAGGATCCAATCGATGCAATATCCCTCTTGAAATGGGGCCTTCCGAAACAGACCGGGAACATCTCTGCGCAATCCTCACCTCCCAAGCTGGTCGTGGAGTACCTGGAGGACTGCTCCGAATGGATCGTCTTGAAGGCAGCTGCCACACCCTCAGACTCAAGCGATTGGCACTTCACCCAAATCAAATCTTCACTGCCGCCTTCGGCCCATGCCCAGGGGAATTGAGGACCCAGGCTTTGAACTTCATTTTGCTTCAGCCAGTCAGTGAGATGGCTCTTGAAGTGCTTGCGATCCACTATACATTGCCTCCTCACGGCTTCCCTGAACAGGAAACCCTTCAAATTCTGAGTGGGGCCTTTTGCAGTGCAGTAGAGATGAATGAAGATCTTGGACTGCAAGATGGGATGCTTCAACCACTTCTGCAAAATGTTCCAAGCGAAGATGAACTCCTTGGTTGCAAAAGTTTAAGTCTTATACTGTTTTACAGGGATATTTGTGGTATTTTATGGTGTTTACTAGTGCTTGCACTATCTGCTCTCCAAACAAGTCCAAACAGAATCAGTAACAAACCATCCCCAAATCTGCACACATGCAAATGGATGGCCAACCTTATAAGGCAATATATAATATACATAATGCTGACTATATTATATATTATATTAATCGGGGTTGGTATTTGGGGAGGACTGTTGGGTCAAGATTTTGTAGCTGTAAAGTAGCTCTGCCCAAACACAATCACTACATTTTCCATGCCCAGGCAAAAAAAAAATCACTACAAAAGTGCAACCCCAGCCTGGATAAAGGGTTACTACAAAAACCAAAGGATCTAACAAGAGGTCTTCAAGAGACCCTGAAAAAAACACGTAGATGTTTGTAGTGATTTTTAAGTAGATCCCACTGAGTCTTCAAGATCAATCCAAATAATGACAAAGTAGTTTGTAGTGATTTTTGGGTATACACCACTGACATCCACTGTGGCACTTCAATCCACATGTGGCACTTTGGAAATCCTGATGTCCATATTGAGCCCAATTACACCGACATAGAATGCAGATGCATATATTATTGATTGATGTATGTATATGCATGTGGCATCTCATCAAGATTCCCCAAGAAACACTACAAAGTTCTTCAGGGGTCAAACCCAGCTGATTTCAGAACATTGATCTTGGAACCCCACAAATTCACTACAAAGTACTTTTAGGTCAAATCTGAGTGAACTCAGAAATCCATTTTGGGTCGACTATTATCTCGCATACTTAACCACTACAAACTTCTATGACCAGCCCATGTTTGAATCTAGAAACATATGTGACCTAGGGTTACTACAAAATGCAAGGACACATGGTCCTAGGGGGACTGTAAAAACCATTGAAAAACCTATTTTAAGGAGGACCCAAGTCCACTACTTTTGTAGTGGAATTTCCCTCCAGGATTTATATTATAAATATAGTATTGTATCAAGAAAAACCGTGCATCAAACATACATCTCCCATCATCTCCCCAATCCAAAGGTCTGTTGGTTCTCGTGAGATCCAGTAAAAATGTGCTTCGACCAGGCCATGTTTGGTCTCGGAGACCAGCTCGGAAACAAGCGTGGACAGCAGGGAAATGAAGGGCGTGACCCCAACCCCAGCGCCCACAGCAATCAGGACGCGCTTGTCCAAAGCGGATTGTGTTGGAGCTGAAAACGGGCCATCCAAAGCAAGGCGGGGTAACCTTGTGCCATTCAAGCAACGTGAAGCCAATTCCTGAGTCCAATCTCCAATACCTGCAAGGTGCATCAATGTGATGGAAATGATGTAAAACGCTGCTGAGATGAACCCCTAGGTCAGTAGCTATTCCAAGGTCCAAACGGTTTTCAGACAGGACAACCCCCAACAGCGTTCAGCATTTGATTGCAATCAAAGCAACCCTCGGATACAAAGAAACTGGAAACCTGAAAGTGATGAGGCAATACAATGTTTGTTTCCAACATCTTTTATATCCTAGCAAACCAGACCCAGTTTTTTTTTATGTGCAAATGACTGGGGTTCACCACGTTTTGCCCTGCCTGCGATCAGGAAGTTCACAGTTTCATCATCATAGCCAGAGGTAATCGTGAAGGGGTGCCATTGCCTCGGTTGTGATGTGGTAGACCCCATTTTTACCCACCATGACAGGGATGGTTGGTTGAAATTGCACTGATAAACATGGTGATGACTTGGGGATAGTTTATATTTCGGTTTACTACATTAGTTCATCATCGTTCATGACAATCTGCATGTAAATCCTGACCAAGCTATAGTTGAACTGGAGTAATCACTAGTAGCCATAGCATGCCATAGCCATATGACAAATTGAATTTAAAATATGTTAAACACACACACACATATATATACAGTATATTGATTGTTTATGAACGATTCTTCGATGTTTTTCAGCCAAAATTTGCCAATCCAACCAAAATGCAGCTTGGAGTAGTCCGGCAAACAAATGTATGCATACATCCCCGCATTTCGTTTCCAACTCCATAGGCACATGGGCTTCGTGACCTCCAACTGCACCAAGGATCCTTCTGGGCCCTCCTAAGTGCGAGGACCCAGGGTCCAGCCGACAAATGACGAAGATCTAATAGTTGATTATCACTTTCCGTATTCAAATAGCCACTTTGAGGCATACCATATCATCCATATCATACCATGGACCATGGCATACCCAATTTTTGGATGAATCCAAGTGTAGTTGGGACTAATTTCATAACTACATATACCAGTAGCTACTACATAGATCAAACATCATGGAAGATGCTTGGCACCCACTTCCCCCCAAAAAACACCCGGTGCCAACAAACCCCAGAATCAATGGAACCAATCGCAGGGTTTCTGGAGGAGGGGTTTTGGGGAGTGGTTACAGTACAGCCACATGTTGCCCTCCTGCTGCCCAGCATCATCTTTGCCAAGCCGAACCACAGCTCGCAAGATTTTGACGGATCGTCCTGCGCAGTAATAGCCTGGGTGCAAGAGGGGAGGAATTTCAAGCTAACCCCCACTGCTGTTTCCATGTCTCCGTAGTTGGCCAGTTGGCTAAGTGAGTGGTGAGTTCGTGCAATTATCAAAGTAAGATCGTATATGATTCTATGATACCATCCGGTTAAACCCCAGTTATGGTGACAGTAGGGATGCTACGGCCCAGCACAAAGAGCGCAACAAACAGGCTGAGGGGCGGAACAATCGGGCCACCCGGGTGGCAGTATACAGAAGCATTGGGAGCCCACACACCACAATGACCAAAGGAATGCCAATTCCAATCCAACCT